ATTATTGATTATTAATTTTTTAAAATATTAAATTTAGTTGATTTTAAATTAATAATAAAAAGTATAATTAAATACAGCAAAAAATATAATTAAATACTGATAATTAATAAAAATATTAACTTACGTGCTAAAATTTTAAATATTTTATAAATAAAAATTTAGTTAAGTTTAAATTATAATAAAAAGTAAAATTAAATACTAATAATTAATAAAAATAACTTACGAGCTATAATTTTTAAATGTTTTATAAATAAAAATTTAGTTGAGTTTAAATTATAATAAAAAGTAAAATTAAATATTATAATCAATAAAATAAACTTACCAACTATTATATTATTGATTATTAATTTTTTAAAATATTAAATTTAGTTGATTTTAAATTAATAATAAAAAGTATAATTAAATACAGAAAAAAATATAATTAAATACTGATAATTAATAAAAATAACATACATGCTAAAATTTTAAATATTTTATAAATAAAAATTTAGTTAAGTTTAAATTTATAGTAAAAAGTATAATTAAATGCAGCAAAAAACATAATTAAATACTAATAATTAATAAAAATAACTTACATGCTAGAATTTAATTATTAATTATTTTTTTAAATAAAAATTTAATTGGATTTTAAATTATAGTAAAAAGTACAATTAAATACTGTAAAAAATAAAAAATAAATACTAATATTTAATAAAAATAACTCACATGCTAGAATTTTAAATATTTTTTAAATAAAAATTAAGTTAAATTTAAATTATAGTAAAAAGTAAAATTAAATACTCATAATTAATAAAATAAACTTACCAACTATTATATTATTGATTATTAATTTTTTAAAATATTAAATTTAGTTGATTTTAAATATATAATAAAAAGTATAATTAAATACAGCAAAAAATATAATTAAATACTGATAATTAATAAAAATAACTTACGTGCTAAAATTTTAAATATTTTATAAATAAAAATTTAGTTAAGTTTAAATTATAATAAAAAGTAAAATAAATACTAATAATTAAAAATAACTTACAAGCTATAATTTTTAAATGTTTTATAAATAAAAATTTAGTTGAGTTTAAATTATAATAAAAAGTAAAATTAAAAACTAATAATCAATAAAATCATCTTACCAACTATTATATTATTGATTATTAATTATTTTTTATATAAAAAATTTAGTTGAGTTTAAATTAAGCATAAAAAGTATAATTAAATCTAATAAAAAATATAATTAAATACTAATAATTAATAAAAATAACTTACGTGCTAAAATTTTAATTATTAATTATTTTTTTAAATAAAAATTTAGTTGGATTTTAAATTATAGTAAAAATTATAATTAAATACTATAAAAAGTAAAAAATAAATAATGATATTTAATAAAAATAACTCACGTTCTAGAATTTTAAATATTTTTTAAATAAAAATTTAGTTAAATTTAAATTATATTAAAAAGTAAAGTTAAATGCTAATAATTAATAAAATAACTTACGTGCTAAAATTTTAAATATTTTATAAATAAAAATTTAGTTAAGTTTAAATTTATAATAAAAAGTAAAATTACATACTGATAATTAATAAAATAACTTACGTGCTAAAATTTTAAATATTTTATAAATAAAAATTTAGTTGTGTTTAAAATAATAGTAAAAAGTATAATTAAATATAGTAAAAAGTAAAATTAAATACTGATAATTAATAAAAATAACTTACGAACTAAATATTATTTTAAATAAATAATTTAGTTGAGTTTGAATTATAGTAAAAAGTAAAATTAAATATTTATAATAAAAATAACTTACCTCCTTTAATATTTTTTGATATTAAATAAAAAATTAGTTAAGTTTAAATTATTACAAAAGTATAATTTAATATTGATATTCAATAAAAATAACTTACTAGCTAAAATTTTTAAAAATTTTATAAATAAAAAATTTAGTTGAGTTTAAATTATAGTAAAAGTAAAATTAAAAGTAAAATTAAATACTAATAATAAATAAAAATAACTTACATGCTAGAATTTTAATTATTCATTAAATAAAAAATTTAGTTAAGTTTAAATTATAGCAAAAAGTAAAATAAAATACTGATAATTAATAAAAATAACTTACAAACTAAATATAATATTAAATAGAAATTTAGTTGAGTTTAAAATTATAGTAATAAGTATAATTAAATATAGTAAAAATTAAAATAAAATACTAATAATTAATAAAAATAACTTACTCCCTTTAATAGTTTTTTGATTTTAAATAAAAAAATTAGTTGAATTTAAATCATAGTAAAAGTAAAATTAAATACTGATAATTAATAAAAATAACTTACATGCTAAAATTTTTAAATATTTTTTAAATAATAAATTTAGTTGAGTTTAAAATTATAATAAAAAGTATAATTAAATATAGTAAAAAGAATAAAATACTGATAATTAATAAAAATAACTTACATGCTAGAATTTTAAATATTTTTAAATTAAAAATTTAGTTGAATTTAAATTATAATAAAAAGAATAATTAAAAATTTATAAGCAAAAAAACTTACGCCCTAAATAATTTAAAATATTTTTTTAAATAATAAATTTAGTTGATTTAAAATTATAGTAAAAGGTATAATTTAATATTGTAAAAAGTAAAATTAAATACTAATAATTTATAAAATCAATCTACCAACTATTATATTATTGATTATTAATTATTTTTTTAAATAAAAATTTAGTTAAATTTAAATTATAGTAAAAGTAAAATTAAATACTGATAATTAATAAAAATAACTTACAAACTAAATATTATTTTAAATAAATAATCTAGTTAAGTTTAAATTATAATAAAAAGTAAAATTAAATACTTATAATAAAAATAACTTACAATCTAAAATTTTAAATTATTTTTTTAAATAAAAAATTTAGTTAAGTTTAAATTACTACAAAAAGTATAATTTAATACTAATAATCAATAAAAATAACTTACTAGCTAAAATTTTAAATATTTTTTTAAATAAAAAATTTAGTTGAGTTTAAAATTATAGTAAAAGTAAAATTAAATACTGATAATTAATAAAAATAACTTACGTTCTAGATGTTCTAGAATTTTAAATATTTTATAAATAAAAAATTTAGTTGAGTTTAAATAGTTTAAATTATAGCAAAAGTATAATTAATACTAATAATCAATAAAAATAACTTACTAGCTAAAATTTTTAAATATTTTTTAAATAATAAATTTAGTTGAGTTTAAAATTATAGCAAAAAGTATAATTAGATATAGTAAAAGTAAAGTTAAATACTGATAATTAATAAAAATAACTTACATGCTAGAATTTTAAATATTTTTAAATTAAAAATTTAGTTGAATTTAAATTATAATAAAAAGAATAATTAAAAATTTATAAGCAAAAAAACTTACGCCCTAAATAATTTAAAATATTTTTTTAAATAATAAATTTAGTTGATTTAAAATTATTATATTTCAATTATAAAAAAAAAATATATATCATTAATAATTAAATAACTTACTGTCTATATTATTAAATATTTTTTGAATAAAATATTTAATAATATTAATAATAAATAGTAAAATTATAATGAAAAACAAATTCAAATATGAATATTTATTAATGAAAGTTATATTTTAATTAAATGTAATCAATAAAAATTTACCAATAATATTTTATTTTAAATAAAATTTTAGTTAAAATTTAAATTATTTTAATAGATATAAACAAATATAAATAATTAATAATGATAAAACATACATGCTATATAATATTATAATATTTTTAATAAATAAATTTATTTAAATAATAAATAAATAGATTTACAAGTTATACAAAATTATAATATTAAAAATATTAATTTAGTTAAATACTATTAAATGTAATAATCACTATAAATAACTTACATTTTATTGCTATATAAATATAATTAATCATTAAATAAAAAATTTAGTTAAATTTACATTGGATTAAAAAGAATTATTAATAAAATAACTTACAAGCTAAACCATATAATATTATATTTAAATATATATATATAAAAAAAAATTTAGAATTAATTATAAATATTAAATTTACGATAATACTTAATATCATTATTTGTTAAATAAAAATTTTCGGTTGAGTTTAAATCAATAATCAATAAAATTACCTTCTATAATTCCAGCATATTATTTTATTTATTTTTTAATTTTATATAAATAAAATTTATTAATGTAAAAATTATTTTAGATATATATGTTAAACTCAATTAAAAAACAATTTCAATCGAGACAAAATACTTTTTTTTTTATCAAAACCAGATATATTTTTTTTTATTTCCGGTAAATATGTTTTATCTTTATCAAGTCCAGATACTTTTTTTTTTATTTCCTTTATTTCCGGTAAACATGGTTCAATTTCATCAAGACTAGATACTTTTTTTATTTCTGGTAAACATGTTTTATCTCCATCATCTAATTCATCTAATGTAGAAGTTTCAAAAATTTGTTCTAAAATGATTCAAAGTTGCTTTCGTTCTTTAGTCCAATCGTCAAATATATAATAAATTTGATTTTGATATTTAATTAACTTACCATTTTCTTCTATACCATCATCTCTTTTTTTATTATTCTGAGCAAATAAATAACTAAACTTTGTTATTGTATTATCTTCGGACATTGCTAAAAGAAAATATTAAAAATTAATTAAAATTATAAGATTACACAAAAAAAAAATTTACTATATTCCAGTTACGCAAAATTGTATTGTTGACTTTGTGGTATGTCACATTTTGTGAAACCCGAATTCGGTATGTTTCTTGTTAGACATTTCAATAACAAATATATCCTGAAACTTTTTTTAAAGCAAAATTCCACACCGAATTTAAAAATTGGAATTAAATTTTTAATTTTATAATTACTTAGTAATTTATTCTGAAATTTACACAAGTAATTAAGTTCGACAATACCCAATACTTTTTACCTCTCTTGATCATCCAAAAAAGGAAAGATCCACCTTGATTTCTGGATGAAACGATGATTCAATGCCTTTTAACCAAAATACACAAAACATAAAATATAAATTTTTTTTCAAACGGCGAAAAATTTTTGTAATTCAGAAATTTATTCTTATTCTTTTCTATCATAAAAATAATAAAAACCAACACCGTTGACTTTATAAAATGTATGTATCGTAAAACGTTCAGATATTCTAAATACTCTCAAAATTTCTCTTCGACACACCAACAATTTATTATTTCTTTAAATGTAAATATCATTTGTTTCGCTAGTAATTACATATAAAGCAGGCAGATTTACTGAAGCTCTATTAATTTTGAAGTAATAAAAAGGGCAAGATCTACTCGAAAGTATGAGCACTTTTACAAAATCAATTTTATTATAATTTCTTTTGAAAGAAGCTATTAAGGACAAGGACGATGAGAAATGTAGGAAAAATAAATTAAATGATGTATCTTCGAAACTAATAATTGGATATAAAAAAAAATTGTCAAAATTCGAAATTTTATTATTAAAAATCCTAACGAAATTCAAAATCAAAACTTAGTGGTTCTGCTTTTGCCGTTTCCTAAAATGAATTTTTTCCCGCAACTATAATTTTTGATTATAAAGCGGATAAAGATTACAATTTTAACAACTTTGAATGTATTCAGATTATAAATTTACCACTATTTGCCGATTTGTATTACGCTTCGAATAAAAGTAATATCCTAAAAGGTTCCGAATTTACGAAACAACCTTTCATCTTTTAAAGCCCAGCAAGGATACGCTAGTAATTTTCCAATTGTAAATGTTGTGCGAAAATATTTGCTTTAAAAAGAGAAAACGATATTCTCGAAACGACCAGTTCGTAGGTCGCACTTTTAATGAAAGATATAAAGTGATTTGTTGTATTGATAAATATACAAGTCATCAGAAGAATGAGGGATTTGAATAAGTTTAACTTGAAAAACATCAAATGAATATCATTAAAAATCAATCCTAGTATTATAATTATGAAATTGTCAATAGTTAAAATGAATATGAAGGTTTAGCTTGGATTATACAGAATCAATAATTTCCGATATCTAAATCATCCTAAGAAAGATTTATATATACGATTCTTTTATGCAAGTAGTTATCTAATTAAATACCTATTTGAGGACAGAATATTAAAACTTAGAGCTTGTGAGATTAGCATTAAGATTTATTATTACAAAAGTTCTTCGAGTCAAAACAGATCTTTTATACCAAACTCTAGACTAGTACTATGAAATATGTAAAATGAGATAATGAATAATATATTCATGACGCAGTTATAAAAATACTGATCTCCGCAATAATTATATGATGAGAATGTTTCAAATAAATAATACAAGATAAAATAGCTAGCAAGCATATTTCAAAATATTGTCATAAGAAATGTAGTGCTCCATAAGGGTCGAGTCGGGTCGGGCTTTAAGCAAATTCGAACTCGACACATCAATATTTACAGAACTTGAATTCGAATCGAATATTAAGAATTAAATTAATGCTGAAACCTTTTTTATTTTTTGAAATTTTGTAAAACTTTTCATAATATTTATTTATGTGCAGATAATAATCACAAGCTTATTCATTTTTTTAGTTTGAACATTTTTCAATCGCCAAATATTTGTTTAATTAAATAATTAATCTTGCGGAGTTATTTTTTATGCTTATATTAATTTTTGAAAAATATACTTGCTTTAAAAACGTATTTAAAACACTAACTTAACGTATATTCAAAAATTCATCAAGATAGAAGTTTTTCTCTTCAAATTGTTTATTGACAACTAGTACACGATGTAAAATACATATCACTTGAGAACATTTAATAATTCGCATAACATTTATGGTTCTGCAAGATTAAATTTTAACTATTGAAAATTAAATTAAGCTTTTGAAATGTATGGTTGCATAATTTTAATAAGTCTAAAAAATACAAATATTAACAATTATTGATGACAGATAAAATAAATATCAAGAAAATTTAGATAGGACTCCGTCGTTAATAAAATTTATAGTTTGTGTTGCTATGCATGGTGACACAAAAGTCCGTCTGTCCGCCCGCTTAAAAATCGAGTCGGCGGACTTAACATAACATTTCCCTAGTTTATATTGATAGAGTAAAAATATATTTTTTCTTGTATAATGATTTATTTAAACAACTAGAAATAGTAAGTTTTGGCAGTATTATTGTTTAGGTGAAAATATTTACTGTATTATTTAGACGTGTCGTTGTTAATTATAAAATCGACTACAAATCTTATCTTTCAGTTCCATTCATACGGCGATACGTTTTTTTAGATATTTTTGTATCATTCAAATTAAGACATTGTAATTGGATAACTTTAAAATCGAACTTTATTATTTTTATTTAATTTTTATTTTTTAAAAACAAAGAACGCTAGAGTGAGTAACGAAATAAATATTAGTCGAAACAACAAATTGAGTAAAAATTTAGATTTTATTTGGTTGTTCAAAAGTTCTATTATTTCATTGACCAAACATTCAGATGTTGCGACGAATTAAAACTTTCTTTACCTCAAATCCTAAATCTTTCATTTGTCAATATTGTCAATATTTTTTCTATTCATAAGGGTATAATACTCAAAGATTATTTTGGATTAATTTTAACATCGTCAAAAAATATCTATCAGGTTGTAAATTTTTTGAGGCTTTATCGTGCAAAGATCTCAAAGTTATAATAAAATATAGGAATAGTTTTGTCTTTTATGAATAATTCAGAATAAGGGGGTATATTGGATTGGTCGTAGAACAATTTTAGATTGCGATATTTACATAAACAAAAAAATTTATTTGGCATACCAATAATATGGATGATTGTTAAATACTTACCTTTGCCAACCTTCCGAATGTCGATGTAATGAGGTTTTCCCATGGAAAACATTAGAGTTTAATTTCAAATCGAAAAAAAAATAGATTAACATTGACGAACTTATAGATTTAAAGTTCAATAATCAAAAATAAAGGAGAGTAGATCAAAAAAAAAAAGAAACTCTCAATTTATAAGCTTTCCTCAGATAAAATTATGGTTATGCTCGACACATTTATAAGAATATGTAAATTATTGGTAAATACCTTCCGCTGAAAATGTTTCTGGATATACAATTATGGATTTCGAAGCCTAAGAAAATACTCTTGGATCTATATGATGAAAGTATCATCGATGATACATTGGTAAACGTCATTACGTTTTTTAATATAATGCATAAAGAATTGAGCTTAATCATAATTATAACTGAATTAACAAAATAATGGCATTTTTACGCTATAAAAAAATATTTTTTTATAAGATCTAGGTTTCATTTTTGTGATTTTTAAATTTAATTAGTTTTGACATTACAGCAGTGTATTTAATTTGCAATCAGAAAAATTATAAAGGCAAAAAAAAATAATTAGATATAACGAATGATTTAAATAACAAATGACAAATGACATGTCATTTAATTATTCGTATGACAAATAACCAAGCATCGAAAATACCAGATGAGCTTGTAAATTCGTTATCTAGTTATTCAAGTACAATCGTAACGGAGTTCATATAATTATTGAAATCTTTGTAAGCTTCCTTATCAATGATTAAACGATTGATAAATGATTTCTGCGATTTCATGAACTTTATCCAAATGATATAATTGAAGTATAATTCTTAATTATTCATTTGACCAGAAATATTTGCATATAATATATCAACTACTTAATTCGATTATCTGTTCTGAAAAATATAACCAAAAATATTAAAATTATGTTATTCGAAAATGATTAATAGTAAATTTTCACAGCTAAACTTTCATCATATCGTAACATTCATATACTGTAAAAAGATGACCATTTGATAACTTCCACAATAAACTCTTTTTATTTAGTTTACAATTTCCATCTTAAAACTTTTTGGATCAATATAATAACGACGACAAAAAATATAGATGATTCTGCCTAAATTCTTTTCACTATTCCAAAATAAATATTATTTTGCTGTAAAATAAGCTGTTGTTGGTGATATTGTATATTTACATTTAAGGATTAAATAAAATATAAACAAGTCTTTTTTTTATGAATATAAATAATAATGTAATATAATAAATCTAATTGGGTAAAACAATACGCATAAACAAATCGAAATTGTATTTTGAATTTATCATTCAATCTCAGTCTATCCCATTCCATTACTAACAATAATTCAATTAATCGTTTTGGTTTTCTAATTAATAGAAAAAAGTCATTATGTATGTTAACTTTAATAAGCGGATTTATAATAATTATCGTAACACCATAAAAACGAATGGTTTTATCATGAAACCAACAATTTATCCTCTGGACAATTATCCTTTTGAATTAAAAATATGTATAAATGATTGTCTTTTGACCGAATTGTAGGAACATGTCATTAAGCTTTAGACTAGTTATTATCCTAATATTCCTACTAGAATAGTTTTTATTAGCCGCAGTTATTTCGGAAATTGATTTGTTTAATAAATAGTACAGAGCGCCGACATTGAGCAAGTGCTTGATTAACTGGGTTTATTAAATAAATTTTGCATCATTCTTACTTAATTAAAAACATTCTGCTACCTTTCATTCGTTTATAAAAATTAACTTGTGAGAACTGGACGCAAAACTACATTTATAATTAACTTC